GAGCTTAATCTTTTCCGATTCCAATTACTTTTCCGGCCAAAGGATCAATTTGCGCTGAGAAAACGTAATGAATCAGATACAGAACAAAACTGTGTCGTTTGTTAAAGGAAAACCAATGTCGACATGATGATGATCCTGCAAAATTAATCCGTCTCTTTTCTTTAATTCAAAGCACTGTTAAAGGATAGTCAATATGAGCCCAATAAACTTACTGGGCAGTTTGCTTTTGAGCCCAGGGGCATAATTGTATTTTTGCATAGTAGACTAAAAAGAATTGAAGTCTGTGTTTATGATAGATAACTTGTATTTTTTTTTGGTAGAATGATAGATAACTTGTATTGTAGGTGCCTAAATTGTCTTAAAAATACTCATTTCTCTCCGATGATCCGATCTCAAATAGCTGATGAACATTTGAATGTTTTGTTTGGTGTTACTAATTTATATCTGTAGTTCTGTTTTATTTTGATATCTTGCTTGTATGATTGTGAACTTATAAAAAGAAGTGTTTATCAAAACACTAGTACTCTCTTCTGAGTCTTCTCTCCCATGCATGTCTTTGTGAGAGATAGAGAGTGATACTAGTTCTTCAAATTTACGATTAGATTCAGCGTTTTAATATAGTGTTAAAGTAAATCATGTTTGGCTCTTGTTTCAATTCTCTTTTTTTGTCATGCCCAGAAATTTTTACTCGTCTTGATGAATTTGGAATAGTCTCTTTAACCTATGTCCACAAGATTAACGGTGAGATCGGTAAAACTCAAAGCACTGGTAAAATAGTGCAATTATGACTGTATGAGCCCAAATAAATTTACTGGACACGTTGCTGTTATGCTTGTCTTTTGCTTTATAAACCCTAAAAAGAAATGAATATTAATGATAAATAATTTCAGAAAACCCTATACATATCTCTCACATCTCAAAATAGCGGATTTAAGGATGTTATGGTGCTTAAATGAAATCTTTACTTAGAGCAGTTTCAATCCGTGTTAGAGCATCTCCAACCCAGCCTCATATTTCACCTTTATTGCTATTTTAGAGTTAATTTTGCTCCAAACCCAACTTCATTTTCAATCTCAAAATGGAAAAATGCCATATTTTTTTCCAAATTGGGGTTGATCTCATTTTCATTTCTATTTTGGAGTTGAAGTTTTTAAATTTATAACAGTCCTTAAAATTTTAAACTATTTCAGTTTATATATAAGTAATTATTTTGATGTTTATTTTTACCCTAAAATACAAATAAGACATATTTAATAAGAAAATAAACTATTTAAGAAGAAAGGAAAATATTCATAATTAATTTAAATAATTATAATAAATTGTGAAAGTTTTGAAGAAAAAAAACTTATGGGGTAATTTGTAATATATATAAATATACAATGTAAATTTAGTAATTAATAAAAGGTTTTGAAGTAAAAAATGAGGCAATACATTGGAGCAAAATCCAACTCCATTTTGAGATTTCTTCATTTTGGAGTCAAATATGGGGCAATACATTGGAGATGCCCTTATCTCACTAAATTTCTCACCACCAAAAAGAATATTAATAAAATATATGAGAAACTCATGAAAATCGAAATCTTCGATATAGTCAAGTATTTTAGACGCTTAGCCATGGAAAACGATCCAATCCATTCGGGGCTTCGGGCAGTCACAACACCACTAATTCATGCCAATGTAATTCTTTCTCAAAAAAATAATATATATATATATATATATGAGAAACTCTTAAATGAACATTTATCGTTGGAGATGTTCTTAATGAATACTGAGCAAAATTTAAACAAGATTTTATACAAGCACAACAAAAAAAAACCACAAAATATAACCAATCTTAAATTTAATTTTAAAAAATGCTTCAAACCTAAATATTTCGAGGCATCATGTTTGTTTTCAGCCGCAAAATTATCAAGATACACTTAATAAAAATCTAAATAATATTTTTAAAATTCTATTTTTATTATTAATTCGTTTTCTTAACTAAAAACAAATATTATAGAATTTATTATTTTCAAATTAAACACTTTATTCTTAAATATTTAAACATATTATTGTCTTTTTAAAATCATCCATAAATTTATTTCACAAAATATTAAAAGAACTAAACCCTAACTACAATATGATCGTGCTACAATATTAGATTTCTTAACCGACCATCTAATATATTAAGAAATAGTGACAACATCACAACAAACGCTTCTTCATTAATAACTCTATAAATTAATAACTCGATATATTAATAACTCGATATATTAACATATTTTTCCGGTCCCAAACTAAGTTTTTGTTACATATGATCTCTTGATAAATTAACAATTCGTTAAATCAATAAAATATATTGGTCCCCACAATCCAACATTATTAATTTATAAAGTTTCTACTGTATATACCTTCGTTCTGTTAGCTCTAGTGAGTTACTCCTTATTCATTATTTTTTTCGTAATTTTTATGTAAACATCCTTATCTAATATTTAGTTCTATGATATTTGGAACAGTTTCTATGCTGGAAATTTAACAGTACATGCTTTTGTAGCTAATGGAATTTGGAAGATTTGATACGATACCATCGATAAACAATTATTCACAAAAAGTAAATAAACGGTTGTACATTTTTTCTATTTACATACAACTTAAAACTCATGAAACCTTAAATCTAATAAGGGTATCTACTAATATTTGCTATCTTAGATTTAGATATATATCTTAGATCCGTGATATGAGTTTCATGTTTCATACTAGATCGTTAGTGTTGAATCACTTGATTATACATAAATAGGTTTATTCTGTATTGTAAAGATCCATAAGTAATGATTGCTTTTTAAACTTCTTTGAATCATGATGTTACACAAAACTTATTACATATGATGAGGCCTTTAAGAAGAAATTTAATGTCTCGTGACTTGGGCCAACGAGACACGATGCTGGTGTTTTTGTAAAGATTTTGCGTTTCTTTGTGTTAGAGGAGAAATTAACACATTTCCTTGAGTCCGTTATCATTAGTAAAGTCACAAGGTCCAATCCGACTTTAGGTCTAACTTCCTCATCAAAAAGGGAAAGCTTGAGGAGGAAGGCACAATCCAGGAAGAAATGTGAATAAACCCTCATGCCGACCTGAAGAATGGAAGGAAATCAAGAACAGGAGGAAGTTTTCTATATCGCAAAAGAGAAAGTTTTCCATCTCGCCCGAAGGAGAATATTCATCATTCAGCCGACTTATTAACACTATATATTGAAGACCCCCCATTGGGGAAAAGGCATCCGAGATCATCTAGAATTACTAGGCTTTTGCACCCACTTTACTTTCTCTTCTTGTTCATCATCATTATCTCGATAAGCTTGTTAGCGAGATAATTACTTTGTAACTTTCTTGATATCCTTTGAGTTGAATTAATCTTCCAGTTTCCTAAACTCACATCTTTGATAGCCCGTCTTGACGAGTGCTATCTCGGATTCAACAATTGGCGCCCACCGTGGGACTACGAATCTTCGGTAAAAGACTAGAGATGATTTTCTGTGATGAGTAGGTAAATAAAAATAGCTACACATAAATTCTTTATAGCCTACTATTATATTACATTTGAATTCTATTGTCTTTCTATGATATGAAAAAAAATGACATGAGAAGTAAATTCAGGCAACGATTCATGTTTCCATTTATGATGCCTATGATTGCAAACTAAACGGAGATTAGATTCACATCAAGAATTTTTATGTCACTACTCAGACAGGACATTGTAGAGGTACTTGGCATATAAAAAGAATATTTCCTTCCAACAACAATCATTATGAAGATATTTTATCCTTGTGTAAGAAACTTCTTAGATTTCGTGGATTTCCAAACAATTATAGATCATACACAACGATGATTATTTAGTAGATACATATATTATCTTCAAACTAGAGATTATTCTCTGTGATGAGTAGATAAATAAAAATAGCTATACATAAATTCTATATAACCTAATATTAGATTACATTCAAACTCTATTCGTCTTTCTATATGATATGAAAAAAATGACACGGGAAGTAAATTCATGCAACGGTTCATGTTTAGTTTACCCAAACTAAACGAAGGAGATTGGATTCACATCAATGATTTTGATGTCACTACTCAGACAGGACATTCCGACATTGTAGAGGTACTTGGCATATTAATAGAATATTTTTCCTTCCAACAACAATCATTATGAAGATATTTTATCCTTGTGTAAGAAACTTCTTAGGTTTCATGGATTTCCAAACAATTATAGATCATACACACAGCGATGATTATTTAGTAGATACATATATTATCTTCAAACATTTAAACGCACATTCCGAAACTAGATATGTCATTACCATTTAAGAATCTAAACTCTCTTTTGTGTTTACTTTTCTTACATGATTTAGTTCGAGAAGTAATCATATTGGTAAATCTACAATTTGGAAGGAGATTATGTTGGAAAAAACCAAAGAATTATGTGAGAGATAGTATCTACCCTATCATCCAGTTTCAACTCAGTAACCGTATATATACTAGAATCCGAATAGTAAAGTATTATAATAATATTCCAAATATATGTTTTTTAAATTGTTACAACGATTAAAAAACCTAAAATTTAAACCTAACGTAAAAGGAAAAACACTAAAAACTCTTAGAAACTCTAAAAAAACTAACGTAAAAGGAAAAACAGTAAAACTCTTAGAATCCTTAAACCCAGTGGCGGAGATAGAAAAAACATCTTCTGGGGTCAAAATTTGAAAGATTCAAAATAGCTTCATCATTCCTTCATTTGAAAATGATTAGTTGACGAATCTTGGACAAAAAATTAGTTGTTTATTGGCTGAGGGATTGGAGTAGACCTACCTTCATCCATAACTGGTTAAGCGGATCCTGGTTAGCCTACGAATCTTCTTCTAGTCAATCCTTTGTAATCCAAGCCAACCCACATTACTGGCTAACGGCGGATAATCATATTTCTTAGAGGTACTAAATACAACTCCATGAATGAGCAACCTCCATGGAGTTGGATTACAACCGGGTACTTAGCGGCCGAACAGTACCCAGTTGTAATCCAAGCTACTGTTCTAACAACCAGGTACTTAGCGGCTTCTCTTCCAACTGCTGCCTACCCGGCATCATATATATCCAATCATGGAAATTCCGAAAAAGAGTTCCACCTTTTTTAGTACTCCTTGAGCTAATTTCTTATTGTTTTACCTATTATTATGAAAGATTCCATTTGCATTTCATTTAGGAACCGGGCTTGTACCATGTCTCCCGAACAATCTCAATGACCACTTCGAGAAGAACCTATTTGAAAACAGTCTAATGCCACATCTGACTCAACAGCTCCGAAAAGGTCTTGCATTGCCCTTCTCAATCCGACAGAGAGTGGTAGTATTAGCGATCCTCTTGAGGTGTTTATCGCACATCCATGCACCTCCGAACCAGGAAAGGAGCGACTACGGCTACTACTCCTATTTCTGCGATGAATATCCGAAACTTCTATTTCTCATTCACAAATCCATCTTTGTTCATGCTGCTAACTCTGGGTTTTAGGTTAGGAAGTCCTTCCGGCCCTAGCAACACCCCCTGTTCTAACAATCACTTTAAGCAGTGGAAATAACAAAAGATGTGCTCCAAGTCCTTGGGCGAACAGGGTCAAACCATTAAAACTTAGCCAGTGCTTCAGTGATATACCTATATAAAATCAAAAATTTAGGAATTAACCATATTTCGTGTCAGTTGCATGGCATATCTGGTTCGTGTTATCTGAGAACAACTATTTTGTTCTTTATCGGTCACATTATCTAGTACAATATAAAACTTATTGTTTCGAATTTTCGACTTCTAAAAATCTACAGAGGAGTTTCTCCTGAAAATGACTTAAGTGATGCCATTCCAACTCATTGTAACCATCGTCAACGAATTGTACGCATCCAATTGTCAGCACGTTTTACCTATGGTATCAGCAACCATTGATGGATGATATCAATTCATATCCAGTTTCCTTACTTATTATATGCATAAGATCCTGCATCTCAAGCCGATTATGAGAAACGACCAAACACTTGTCTTCAAGATCTTTTTCACATATGTAGTATTGACTTAATGATGTAGCTATGGTTTGGAGTGGTACTATCAATGATGTAACTATGGCTTAAGTAGGGTGTTTGAAAGTTCTGTGAATATGGGAAAGAACTCCTCGCTATATAACAAAACACTTTAAGCAAACAACAACTTGACGGATTTATCCAAACACATTAAGCAAACAACAAGTGAATAAACGTACGTTCTTGTTTTATTATTTCTCATAATTAAACCTCTTTCCCACAAAAACAAACGACTTGCTCTCCATAAGAAAAACGTTCGTACCATAAGTAATCCAAAAATAAGCATACCAATACCAGATATAGCTAAACAATCTCCTAATGCATTTCCTCTTCTTACAGATGATTAAAATATTACACAATCAAAAGGAAAATAGTCAAACTTCTTTGCCGCCTGAAGTGTCAAAATACCAATTTACCAATACACTAAACTTATTCATCAACTGTCGATTTTCTTCGAAAACAATTTTTCTTTGTTAAGAGTCAAAGTGATCGATCACCAAAATTTTGATATATCATTTGATTGTTTCAAGGAAAACTAAAACACAAAAAGATATATACTGGAGGAAATTAAAAGAAAAGAAAATAAAATAAAAGAAAAGAAAAGAAAGAAACTAAAACAGAAAAAGGTCTCTTCAAATGGAGGAAAATAAAAGAAAAGAAAAGAAACAGCAAGAATTGTCAAGAAATGTATTGAAACGACAACAATTGTCTGGAATAAAAGACAAAATAGCACAACTTTGCATAAACTGCATAAATGTTTTTGATAGGAAACATGAAACACGTGAGTAGGCTCTCACCAAACAAACCACGTTCCGTTTCCATACCAAAGCATTATCGTTGTACCCTAAAAGCGCGAATCCGTCTGCAAATTAAAACAAAAATTTATAAATATCTGTAAAAAATAAGTCGCATTTAGATAAAACAACACATTAATAATCCTACTAATTACTATTTTCTCACCTGGTTCTCTTGTCCAGTTCCACAGTTGAGATTCCTAGGTGGAAGTTGCTTGTGAGGCGTTCTCTGAAAATTGAATTAAATTTAAAGAAATTAAATGAAGTACGAGCTATATGGTACTTGTATATGTACTTAGATTTAAAACGTTACCACTAGTTTGGGTTTCAGATTTTCAATTGCCGCTATTCTTCTCTCATCTACAACTGCTTCTTGCTGTAGAATATGTCATAATTGAAATAAATAAATAAATTATAACATGACAAGGGAAAGGGAAATGTCAACTGAAATAACGAATTTAAAGTCACATAGATTGTATAAAACTGATGTACCTTCTGCAAAGCCCAATCTGCTGAATCAAAGAAAGCACGTTTGAGATCCTGCATTGGGTTTATATCAATGATATTAACAGCTGACATCATATGTTAAAAACAAAACAAAAAAACAGTAACTCAAATCATACGAATGTAAGAAACATATTGGTTGGTTAGAGATTTTCACCTTCGTGATGAGTGGCTTCTTCCTTGGCACAAGTCCTCCATACTTGTTTGCACCAGGAGTAGCAGCCTAAGGACAAAACAAAAGGCATCGAAACAAATAATTTCATTAAATATTCAAACGCCCTAAGGTCAAACTAATAGTAGCTCTTTATTTGGTTACAGAATCTAGATATAGCTTTAGTAGTTTCATTGAGTCAAGAAGATAATGATCATCTTGCCCACAAATTCTAAACAGAAAAGCAATTTCAAACAGGAAAGAGTTTATAATGTCATAAACTGATTGTCAATAATCAGAGAAGATTCACTGTACCAATCACACAATCAGACAAAACAAAGATTACGGAAAAGAAGAACAAACAATGTAAAATTGAGGCGAAGATCTCGATGGAGGACAAGTGTCGGAAACTGTCATGTGGAAGTTCAAGAAACCGTTGATTTCATGAAAAGGTGCAAGTGAAGATGAGTCTATCGTTTTCAGCCGTCCATGTCATTAAGATATCTCTAAATTAAAAAAAATTAAAACAAAATTGTTGTGTTCCTATGTCCTATTAGAAATATCTTCCTCCCGACAAAAGTAATTTAAAGCTTTTCCGCATATTTAATTATTTAATTTTGACCAGAACAAAAAGTAAAACAAAAAAACCTGTGTTTGAATGGTAGACGTAAGAGACATGAAAACAAACGTGTACGCCGTCGTTACTATGCCGACGATTAGGTTTAGCAATTTACCAAAAAATGAAAAAAATATTTTTGACTCGTTGACTAAAAAGACTTACCAAACCGACATAAACATGGAGTTATTCATAAATATTCTATTGTTTTCTAGTCAAAACGTTTCTTCTAATTACAATTAATGGAATTTTACCCCTGCAAAGAGAGATTTTAATTCCAGCCCAGATTTAATGAAAACAATCAACCAAACCCAGATAAAACACACAAAAGCGAAGACTCTCTTGCTGCTAATTGCACCAACCATGAAACTCTAGGGAATCAATTAAAACATGAATCGTAAACTGAATTGAGTTAATTTACCTCTTGTTCTTGAGAAAGCACGACATCGTCGACGCTCTTGCAATCAGTCGCCATTTTTCACGAACCTTCAAATTTCTTCTGCTCCTAATCGAATTGAAACAAACAAAAAAACAATCAGATGATGAAACCAAAACACAAACTGACTCTGCATTGACGAGTGAGTCTCTCTTGTGTACCCGAAAACCTAATTATGCCTACAGAAGAAGAGAATTAGAGAGAAAGAGACATACGAGAGGAAGAGGAAGACGATGATTGAGACGAGAGGAGGACGATGAGATAAGATTAGGAGAGGTGTTTAGGGAGCCAGATTATATATATACACGTACATAAGATGATTGATACATGTGTAGCTACACATCACACGTACACACGTGCGTAAATAGTTGGGCCACCTAGGCTAAGCACAACATACACGTGTGTGAGCCTCTTAGATATTTTTGTTCGTGTTAAGCTTAAAAATCTTATTATGTTATCACTTAACAAGATTTCGGTAGTCTTATGTACGGCCATGTGGACTTAAACCTGATTTTATGATAATATAAGCCTTGTAAGCATATCCCTACGAGGGGGTGGGTAAAATCATATCTTTTTTTTATATATAATTAATTTAATTGAGTATAATATGAGATACTATATAAGTTGTTAAAAAAATTAGCATTATTCATATTCAAAATTTTATTTAAGTCCAATTAATTAACTTTCTTTATTTATAAAATAGCTATGTTATATATTTTCAATAATTAAAAAAAAAAAATCAAGAACTTACTATAATGTAGTGATTTGTATTAATATTGTTGCTCTGTTATCATCCAGATTTAAATCCCCATCAATCTATGATATATGTTGTTGCCAAAAAGAAGTTCTTGATCTAAAGATAAATTAAATAATTTGTATGATTTTGGTGGATCTTATGAACAAGCAAAACATGAAAAAAAAAAGACTGGAACGAAATAACTTTCAATAGTTTTTTTAATTAAATATCTTAGAAATGAATACAATTTTGAAATACTATTTTGTTGTAATAATCTGTCAAAACTCGATAAAAATACAAATCATAAATATTATGTTTCTATCTATATCTTGTGGTAAACCCTAGTCAAAGTTCGGTATAGGGTAAGTCAACTAAACATGAAATGATGAAAATTAGTTGAAATGAATTTAGTTTTGTATCTGTAAACGATGTATGTATATTTCGTGAAGTTTGAGACGAATTGTTTTAGTTTGGTGAAGATGATGGCTAAACTTGAAGACCGATTGACATTCTCAAGTCTATCAAAAGAAGTTAGAAAATATTTCATTCCTTTTCCATAACACATATACCAAAAATAAAGAATCTAAAGGGAGAAAAGCTAACACGGAGTTTCGAGATTGTCCTTATGATTTGTGTATTATGTACATTATGTTTCAACAATTTAGATTCTCAGTTCTAGTAACATAAGTTGTGGACAAAAAAAACAATAGTCTAATTTTTAAAAACTCGCTTATACGACATTTAAAAAAAAACTTGCCTTTTCCATTGTGGAAACTCACATTTTCATTGTGGAAATTTATGCTTTCTTGTAAAATAAAGAAGTAGAAAGAATTTTTGATGAATTGAAAACTAGTATAATAGTTTGGCATTTGTGTACGTACTAATTATCGTCTTTAACATATAAGTAGTGTTGCTTAATTAGTATAATGTTTAGAACATATGTAAGATAATGAAAATACTAATTTCACTAATTGAAATGAGATTATACTTGAGTTTTGTAGTTTTTTATTTTATTTTTACAACATAGAGTTTGAGGCGGTAATGGAACTACGAAAATGAGAATGAAGATGGTATTTATTCAAATCCAACATGTATCCGCTTTCTTATTAGAAAATACTAGAAGAGCACCCGCGCAATGCGCAGGTTGTATTATTATTTTACTGACTTTTTTAAACCAAAGAGTTTATAATTACAAAGTATATTTGTTAATTAATTTGATGTCATTAGTTATGAATCTTATGTTAGTTTAACTATTAGTATTTATTTGCTTGTTGACCAGATTTTCAATTGTTACAACTAACGAAATATATAATCTTAAAATATAATTATATAAGAAATTATATACTCTTTATGTTTTACATTATAAGGGATTCTAGAGTTTTTTTTGTTTCATATTATAAGGTGTTTTGAGGTTTATATGCAAAATTAATTATTATTTTGTTGCTTTTTTTATTCTTTAGTTGATGCATATTGATTTTTCATTGGTTGAATTGTATTGGAATTAATGATCAAACATACTTTATTTTGAAAGCTTAAAAAATTAAATGATTTTTAATCTTTGTGTCAAACTCTAAAATCCCCTATAAAATGAAACATAGGGAGTACTACTCATCCACTATTACAATCTGTTTTGCTTTTTTTTTTTTTGACTATTACATATTTTATGCTTCTATAGACTTATAATTCAAGTAATGATTTGTTTTGCCCGAATTTGTTCTAAGGATATTGTGTATTTGAATACGCAGCCAATAAGTAATGTATATGTGATAAAAAAATCTTTACGGAGAATGTAAATTGTGGTGTTTAGTATATATGTACATCACAAGTCCAGGGTATGACATGACATAAGAGGCCAAATTTCATCACAAACGTGGAGACCGCTAGAAAATCAATAAAGGAAGAAAAAGGTTTAGCAGTATAGATTTTGTATCTGATCGTTTTCTTCTTCGCCTTTGTCAAAACCATAATATCCGACATGTATATATATTGAAGACTACAAAATTATTTGATCAGAAATCCATACAAAAATAAACAAAATCTTCGACAAACTCACTATTAGTTTCATTGTCTCACAAAATAAACCTGAAACAGGAAAAAAACAAAAAACAAAATATCTCATTTTTGTAAAACTCAGATCATAACTCATTCCCATTATTTTCCATAACTACAACAGAAGGAGAAGAGACATCTACAGTGACGAGGTGCTATATATACATACGCCTACGGAGCAGAACTAAAAACAGAGTCTTGTCTTTTTGGACCTACGAGAAGCTCCTGTTCATGGAAATGAAGCTATAGTCATGGTGATCATGAACATAAAGCTGTTTCAGCCAAGATAAACCGCTGCACTTCGAAGATAAACCAGCCGTCCTAGGTCATATGATTCTTGGTTTCCCCACTAATCTGCTTGCAATTTGTTAGTAACTAAACGAAAAGGAGCAAAAGGAAGTCTCTTGATCACTGGTTCATCATCACACCACAATGTTTCTTTATTCTCATTGTTTCCCTCTACCAAATTCCCCAACAAATCGAACATAAAAAAGCTTAGACGTTTCTACAGTTTGAAACCAAGATAATGTCTCAAAGCTAAAAGTTTTGTAAAAGTTCTTGACAAGAACATAAGTAAACATATACCTTGGAGAGCCCAAGATAGAGTATGACAACTTAAGAAACACGTCATCAAGTCTTTCTCGGTCTTTCTAAATGGAATATGGTATATCGGATACCTAAACGCCCAAAAAAATATCAAGACTTTATCATCATACGCTTGCAGATTATATAAGCAGACGAATTCTATACTTACCAAGCAATGGCCATCCAACTTGCCGGAGACAAATCAACACTCCTTAAAGTCATCAGTCCTGAATACTTCTCAGCCAATTCATTTACCTAAAAATCTACATAATCTCAATTCAGAGACTTCTCTAAGTTTCTTTGAGCAAGAATATAAAGAGAATGTGATCGATCACAAGAAATGAAGTGAATGAGAACCATGGAGGTAATAGGAACCCGCAAGTGCGGTTTAGCTGATTCATAGTACTGAAAATCAGTGTAACCAAGCCTGTCTCGCATCAGCGAAGAAATGCCATCCATTTCGTAAGCGGAGTCATCGGATACAGAGCCCCATATTTTGCTAGAACCACTGCTCACTGACCTTGACAACTTCTCAATCTCACTATCATCACTCCAACATTCACTCTCAACATCAAACACCTCACTGTGGTTCCTGCAACCAACCATATATAGATTCCACTCCTCAAATTCCCTCAACACATATAGAACACTCTTGTCCAAACTAAATTTACCACAACTGATCAAACCTGGAAATGTCTGGAGATTTGAATGGCGGATAGGTAAGGGACATAGTATTGCATAACGGATTCGCCATTGTTTAAATCGACCCTTGTTCCGAGTCCATATGCGCTTAGCTCATCAAAATAGTCCCAAAGATCACTAAGCCTGAAATATTCAATCTCATCTTTGCTCTCTTGGATCCACAAACTGTTCAAATCTTTCTCGCAGCTCTGCAAATTCACAACAAAGATCAAAATTTTAGTAGCTTATAAACAGTAAAACCCCATGTTTTAATGATAATCCTAGTGAAAGTCTTCCAACTCTACAATATCGAGATAGGACCATAACCAAACAGATGACAATAACAAAAAGAAGATCAAATCATCGGATATATGTAAAAGCCGAAACAGATGAAAGGTTTGAAAATTTACTTATTTACATACCCATGAAATCTTCCAATACGTAGACGGCGTCCTCGGATCCAGTTTCCCGGAAGAACAGCTTCTATGAGGGATTCTTGGAGATGAACAGTGATGCCGGAGTTAATTGGAGAAACTGGAAGGCAGAGGTGGTAAACGACCAAATCTTCGAAGGAGCGGGAGGGCGGTGGTGAAACCATGATGAAAGACGGCGAAATTGGGGGGAACGAAAGAGCGCCGAAGACAGCGGATCGGAAATCGGAAAGGAAATGAGAGGAAAAAAAATTTAGGAGCTCGAAGGGGTTTCTATAATGAGATTCGATTTGGGGGAGTCTATCGGGAAATCAGGGCTTTGAATGCATAGCATTGAAACGATTTCAAACCGAAACGGAAGAGGATATCCGAACAGTCTCGCCGTAGGCGGATGCGGATGAGGGAGGAGGTGGGACGAAGCCGTCGAAGTGAAATCGGAGACGACGTCGTGTTGGTCCCAAGGAAGAGAAAAAAAAAAAAAAAAGGCAAAACACTAAACGACGTCGTTTTGGTGTTACACGGAAAAAAAATAGTGAGAACGCCAAACGACGTCGTTTTGCCACGTATCCCGATTTGGAGAGTGTCCAAGCCTTATTAGTTATGTAGATTTCTTCTATTCGTTTCTAATGTTTTGTAACCTAATTTTGTATAATTTGTAGTAATTAATAGCAATAATTACTAGTGTTTGGGGATTAATTATGGTAGACTAGACACTTCCCACGCGATACATGTGTGTAGCATGTAATTTTTGCATCAATGTCGTGTAACAGACCAATAACTAGGTCGAATCTTGGTAAATTAGTTTTGTGTTTATATCAATATTTAGATAAACTTTCTTTTAAAGTTGATATAATATGTTTATTCAATTATTCGTATTGTTAGCAGTTGTAGTAGATTGAAATTTAGCGCAATGCGCAGATATAAACCTAGCTAGTTTATACAAAGAAGAGAATAATTGAACACCCACATTTACTATAGAAGTTTGTTGAATATCACAATTCACAAGAATCTGACACATGCAAAACTGTGTATGTTGATCGGTTAAAATATATTTTTCTTTATCCAAATGATTCACCACTCCCACACTGATTCCCTCTCCTGCAAGCTTCTAAGACAGTTACCAAGTCTTGTTTCCTGAAAATGGTCGAGTTCATGATTTTTAGCGTAGCTCTCCGTTATTGCTGTCCCGTTTTCTCCGTTTCTACAAGTCTTTGCACTCAGCACACATGGTTTCTTTAAAGTTCTTGTTAAGTCTCCCTGCTACAACCTACATGAGCCGGATGCTTTGATATCCACGACTTCAAAGATACAAGAAAAGGTGCTACCATGCATAATGAAGTTGAGACCAGCAACTTCATGAGTTATCACGTTCTTAGTTATTGAATATTTACTGATAATAATTTTATTATGTTGTAAAGTGCTAATACATATGAAGTGTTTTGAAGAATATAAGAAGTTGATCTATTATCAATATTGTTTTTAGAGAAATTGCAAAATACGAACCTCAATAATCAAAATTGACAACTTTTTGATATTATTATTCATCATTAGAAGATTATTTTGCCATTTTTCTATTTTGTGACAAATTGTTTTTTGCTTTCTCTTTAATTAAATGAACGAAAGGAAGAAAAAATGAAAGGGAAAGAAGAAGAAGAAAAAGAAAGAAGATGATGGAGAAGGAAGGAGAAGAAGGAAGAAGAATGAGAATGGTGATGACCATGCAATGGTGGCAGGTAATTGTGGCGACTTTGGTGATGGTGGCGATGGTAACGTTGATAGATAGTGACAACAACAACATTGATAACGGTAACAACAACAAAGTTATAAAGTTAGTCAAGTAATTATTCATTTCAAGAAATGATAACAAATTTAACACAATAATTATTGTTCGAGCGTTATATCTAGATCGATTCACTCAGCTCATACTTGAATCCACTCAAAGAAGTAAGAAAACAGAATTGAGAATGCTGAAAGAAGAAGACATGATTTGGTAACTGATGTGGAGTCAGGTTTTACCAAACTCCTAGACCTCTGCAAGTGCACAGATCGCGGAAGTATGGGTATCGAACACAAGGACTGGCTATTGAGTACACTTTGAAACTATGGATTTTGGATCAAGCTAAAACAAAAGTATGATTGAGGTTGTAATGGTGAACCGAACTAGCAAGTATAACGAGGTTGTAAACAATAAAGGAAAAGCGCTAGGTCATAGGGGCTATCGCAGAGAAGCAAGCAATGATCAATGAAACAATGATAGATGAATTGATTAGGGATATTGGGATATTAAGAACCGTCTAGAACACAGATCACGAATATAAAACCATTCCACTTTCGAGGCTCCGGCTCCTTTGTTAATCTACCTAGTCGCTAAACTTTTGGTATGTCCCTAGGTGATTAAATCAAGCTTTAGAATGAATAGGTTCTGATACAGTTCACTAGATTATAGTAGATCAACTTTCGCAGTCTAAGAAACCTAGCTTGTCAAAGAATATGTCCGGCGAATGATACAACACTGTCGAGGCTCAAATCAACCTAAGATCGGATTACTAGATGCGCGGTAAAGCAATCAGCATTAGTTAAGTGCACAAGACGAGACAAAGACTCTAATATAATCCCTAGCTAATCATCGAAATCAAAGATCATGCAAGCAACTCATTGAATAGTAACCCTAGCAACCTAACTAGTGGATTACTCAGACATGATCAAAGCAAACACACATAGAGATGAAGAAAACATGATTGCAATAAAACTTAGAGTAGGAAATCGAAATACAAGGGCGGCTCTCTTTTCACAAGAGGCTAAAAAGCTATATATATAGTGCTAGGTCTAGAGGCGGCTTAGGGTTAAGCCGGGCTTGAAAATAGTGAAACGGGCTTCAAAACGGGCTTCGGGTCGACCGCGGCGTTGGGACGGTCGGGACGATCGGCCGGAGATCGGGTCATGGCCGAGTCGGAACGGTCGTGGCCGGACGGATTCGTGGTCGGCCGCTGTGGTCGGACGGTGAAGATTGGCCGATGAATTCTCGGCCGGACGCGGGACGTAGCTTCCCGGCTCGGACGGCGCATCGGCCGTGGTACGCGAGAAGGTTGCGCGGCCGCGAGGCTTGCTTCCCGGCTCGCGCGCATGGTCGTGCGCGGCATGGCGTGAGCGGTTGTGGCGTGGCCGACCGCGGGACATTGTTTCCCGGGTCGTGATGCGTGATCGGCCGGACGGTTTGAACTTTGGCCGAGACTTCAGACGGACGGATGTGATTTGGCCGAGCGGAAACATTCGTTCTCTCGGCCAGCCGGACTGCGCGGTTTGGGCGCTGATTCTCGATAGAGCCGTCTGGACAGTCTTCACTCTTTTGGTTGTAACTCCTTTTCTACTCATCCAAATGAGGCCATTCCAGTTGCGTTGGAAAGTTAACTCAATCAGAGCACGCAGGGAACTGGTCTTGATGAAATCCATTGAGTAGATCTTTTTCTGGGCCCTCTTAAAGTTGTGCTTGTGCATGGAGCGGCTTGAAGTGCAAATCCTATGGTTTTGCTCCAAAATGCATCATTTCACCTGTTTAGACTCTAGACACTATAAACACAGTAAAACTACCTTTTTAGATAGAAAACCTGCCAAAAACCATTAGAAAACAATACTAAAACAGTATAAAAAGCATGTAAAATAGAGGTATATCAATAACCCAGGAGTTCCTTGCGTACATCTCTTGGGGCACAGACTTAGGTCGCAAACTCACTATCACGGCAAACCTCGCTGCTATGTTACAATCGCCAATAGAGCCTCTCTCTCTACCTTATCCTCTAATTCTTCCCATTAACTGGTTCCTGTATTACGATCGTCCCTGACCGAGAAGAAAACACTTTAGCTTTCCATCCTCTCAAGTTAAGTTTTTCATTTTTGATTTAGCCTTTCTGATTAAGCATTCTTATTTTAGGGATTAGATTGACATGTCTTCGATTTTTGTTTGCTGCTTGCTCGATTGAGGTTGTCTTTAACATATCTACGCAGTTAATTGATTCCACTCATAATTCGTTCTTATTATTTTTAATAAATATGAAGAAGAATTTTGCTTTGTCTTCCACATTTGATATTAATTTTTCAGTGATTTGTTCTGCTTCAGAAATGGAACCGGGGAGAGTCATTGTCTGCGGACTCCCAGCAAATGGAATCATACCACAGCTCCACCAACAACCAGATGACAATCAAGCCACGAGACACATCAACAGACACATCGTTTGCGGACTGCCGGCAAAAGGAATCGTACCACAGCTCCATCCACAGCCACAACAAGAAGCAGATGATGATCCACCAGTCAATGAAGAACCAACTGCTGATCAAGATGACGATGTGGTGGAGCTCACAGAGGTACAGTACCGGAAAGCTAGGAAACTCTTAATCCGCATTGAGGAAGACGAAGCAGACATCGAGCCAATGTTCAGAATAGCCCTCGAGAAAATGCTAACCTATGCACGGGAATCCGCACAACTGAGACCCCCCAAACAAGAACAAGGAGAGTCCTCCCGAGGCAAGACTCATCGTCGACAGTAGTTGAAGAGCAGTTTTATTGAAATTCAATGTCGTCTACTCTGTTTCTTCTAAAAATGTAATTTGTACCAGAAAAATCAATTAAATTTTACCCTTTCTGCTAAATTTACTAATTAAGAAATTTACAAATAAATTAGATTTTAAAATCAATTAAATTTAATTAAATTTTGGTCCAAATTGCAATAATCAAATTAAAATAACGTTTCTAGCAAAATAAAATTATATTAGGGTCGAAATTGCAATAACGAGATCTCAATGATATACCAAAATGCTATGAAATAGCATTTTTCAAAATATGAAATAGATGACATTTTGCTACTGCTATAATAGACATAATTTATAACAATTTGCAAATGCTATTGTAGAGTTTCCTATTACGCACAGAAACCGCTATTGTATATTAAACTACAGCGTAAATAAAACGCTATTGTATATTAACCTACAGCATACATTAAACGCTATCTTAAAAAACCATATTATAGCATATATAGAAAACCCTATCCGATCATACTCTTCGTCTTATGGCTGGCAGAGTATCGTCTCAGCTCGACCTCTGGTATACAAAGGACTTATTAAAAGAGTTGGTTCAGGTTCATCTATCTCTGTATGGTATGATCCCTGGATTTCTGACTCTCACCCGAGGCCAGCTATCTGCAAAGGAGTTAATTACTATCCCCATCTGACGGTGAATCAGTTAATTAATTCCCAGACATCAACGTGGAATCGTCCACTATTGCATCAATTGTTCGAGAGTGAGGAAATCACTCGCATCACGGGTATCCCTGTGGCCACTGGCTACAAACCGGATCATTGGGGATGGTTTTATACAACAACGGGTCGGTATACGGTCAAATCGGGATATAGTGTTTTACAGGAGCTCTCAGATGAGGGGACACTGCCAGTATTGGACCGGACATTCGGCGGTTGCAAGCGCAATCCTGGAAGGTCAAATGTACTACAAAACTCCAACATTTCCTTTGGCAAATTATTACCGGGTGTTATCGGTTGGCGCGCGTTATGCAGTCGGGGAATGCGGTGGACCCGCAGTGTGTGAGATGTGGTATGGGAGAGGAGACTATCAACCATATGCTCTTTGAGTGTCCTCCGGCGCGCCAGGCATGGGCACTCTCCCCCATACCTACACCTCCTCAACATTTTCCTACGGACGCACTTTTTTCAAATATGGCACATCTATTTTGGAACCTCCCAGATGATGATGATATGTGATGTACCCATGGTTGCTATGGTTCATTTGGAAAGCTCGGAATTACAAAGTTTTCTCAAATGATGATCAAAACCCACAGGAGGTAATGGAATCCGCGATAACGGAAGCAAGAGCATGGGCAGCGCCCAAACAGACCGCTCCACACACTCCGGATCAGCCCCACCGGGGGAACGGTGTCAGATTGATGGAGCATGGAAAGTGACGGAAAGTCGGGCAGGACTTGGATGGTACAATGTTGATCCGGTATCAGGGTCAATTTTGATTGGATCCAGCAACCTACGGCGGGGTTTGTCCCCTCTCCAGACAGAATTGGAGGCACTAATTTGGGCTATGCATAGTATGCTAGCTCATGATAAACGACGGATAAATTTCCAAACAGACTGTGCTCAGTTGGTGAAGATGGTGTCCAAACCGGCAGAGTGGCCAGCTTTTGCGATCTTACTTGAAGAAGTGGAGAAATACAGAGGGATGTTCCAGGAGTTCTCGCTCACACACATCCCCAGGACGAAGAACACGAAGGCAGACAAGCTAGCACGGAGTGCTCGAGCTCAGCCTCATGATGTGTACTACATAAACTCAGTTCCACCGGCCCCGCTTCCCGGACCGGCTTAGGAATTTAGGCTGTTGACAAAAAAAAAAAAAAAGAAAACGCTATCTAAAGTTTCAGACTTTTTATCGCGGGCGATGACATAGCGTTTTTAAAAACGCTCTCGTTTTCTACGATAGCGTTTTTTGGGCGCCATTAATACTCGTATTTCCTGTAGTGACAAACACCAACTTCCGTTAGCTCATTAAAAGCATGTGTGGTAAAACACACTTAGCCTATGAAAGAGAGACACCTGGACTTATAGTGAGCTTCTTATACTTCAGCTTGATGTGAGCTAAAACAAGACTTGAGCTAAACCTTAGCTACAACTTCCTTGAGATCTTCATAGCTCAGAGACCCTTTGCAACTAACCGAGCTTTAAACCTCGGATTCTCAACTCCAGCAATTCCTGGTTTTCTAGTGACTATCCATTTACACCCAATGGTTTTCTGAACTGGCCTTGCAATTAGAACCCAAGTCATATTCTTCATCAGCGAGTGATACTCGTCACCTGCTACTTCCATCCATTTATCACTGTTAGTATCAATCATTGTTGCCTGAAAGTCTTGAAGTTCTGAACTTCCATCTTCAGATAACAAACGTAAGAAACCTGTAAAATCTTCTTCAGCAAAATCACTTTCTTCGTCTAATGTTTCTTCCCATGTACAGTCATAATCTTTAAGCGTCACTGGAGGCTTAGTTGTCCTTATCATTCTGTCTCTCCCTAGCTGATAACCACTGAGCTCGGTTGGCACTGACACTGCGGATTCCTTTTCTGAACTGTTCTCACTTGTAGATCATGTCTGCGTCTCTGTGGTTACTCTACCTTGAACGTTTGATCTTGTATCCCCTGATTCTCCACTTTCAATGTCTAAGCTCACAACATTTTGTCTCGAAATTCCTCCACTTGAGCTTGACATGATGTCTTTGAAGACCAAATCTTCCCTGAATACTACGCTCCTGCTGATTACAACTTAAAGCTCTTAACGCCTTCAGGGTATCCAGTGAAGATACCCTTTTTAGCTCTCGGGTTTAGCTTACCATCACTTGAATGTACATAAGCAACACATCCAAACCGTTTGAGATCCATTAGACTTGGCATAACTGAAGTCCAAAGTTCCTTTGGAATCGCAAAATCAACAATTGAAGAAGGAGAACGGTTGATGAGAAAAACTACAGTAGATATTGCTTCTGCCCAAAACTTTTGGCTTAGTACGCTCTTGCTCAACATACTCCAAACCTTGTTCTTTATGGTTCTGTTAAGCCTTTGTGCAACTCCGTTTTGTTGGGATGTATACGCACACGTCTTGTGTCTCACTACACCTTCATCTTTCCAGAAGTCATTAAACTAGTGGTTACAAAACTCCAAGCCATTATCTGTTCTGAGTTTCTTGACCTTTCTCCCACTTTGAGTTTCCACCATTTTCTTTCAATTCACAAAACATTTGAATGCTTCGTCTTTGAACCTTAAGAAGCTAACCCATACCTTCCTCGAGTAATCATCAGTAAGCGAGATGAAATACTGACATTTACTCAAGCTATGAGGTACGTTTGGTGCACCCCAGAAGTCAGAATGAATGTAGTCTATCTTGTTTCTTGTATTGTATTGAACTGGACCGAAGCTAACCTTATGCGTCTTTCCCTTTACACAATCTTCACAGAACTGAATATCTAAAACTTTGCTGTCGCCAAAACAACCCTTCTTTCCTAGTAAATCCAAACCATTCTGACCGATGTGACCTAACCTGCTGTTCCATAACTGATTCTTATCCTCCTTTACCGCTGCATTTGTCTGATAGCTACTGGAACCTGAAACTGCTGATGAACCTTGAAGAATGTACATAAATGACCTTCTTGGCCCTTTCATAATGCCCGTGCAGCCCTTGATAACCTTCAGGGTTCCTCCAGAACCTTTTCAACTCGCATCCTTTACTTTCCAAAGTACCCATGGACATCAAATTCTTGGAGATTCCTTGCATGTATCTGACTTCATTTAGAACGAACGTTGTACCATCATGATTCTTGAATCTGACTGAACCTATTCCCTTCACTTCTGACAAAGAATCATTCGCCATTCTAACTTTTCCATTTGACAGCTCCTTAAACTCCAAGAATATATCTCTTCTTGGTGTCATGTGGAAAGAACAGCCAATATCCATAATCCATTCTTCTAGGTCCTCTTCTTCCCTTGACATGTTCACTTCTGCCACTAGAAGACCCAACAAATCTTTCACGCCATCCTTAGGCACACATGATTCCCCTGAATCCTGAGAGTAACCTTTTCCTTTGTTCCTCTCTTGCCACTTGTAGCATTGTTTCTTTAGATGCCCCTCTTTACCACAGATCCAACAAACTCTCTTACCGTCTCTTGACTAAGATCTTGAGCGATTGTTCTTGTTCTTACCTGAAACGTTAGTATTCCTAGAAAAATTTCTACCTCTAGCAAAGTGACCTTCCCCGATAGTCTTAGATACTCCAGTTCCTTAGATTTAGCATGACTAACAATATCATCCACCTTAATGGCTTATCTACCATATTTCAAAGGTTCTATCAATGAATCATATTTAGAAGGGAACGAATTAAGGAGGAGGATAGCTTGTACCTCTTCTGGAATGTCAATTTTAAGGTTCTCTACGATGAGCTTGAGGAAGTCGTCTACGTTCTGGTCAATGATCTTTGCATCCTGCATCTTGAATGAATACACCTCTGCGTATGAATCCGATTCGGCAATGACTGCGTCATGTAGAGGCAATCTAGAGCTTCCCATGCCTGAGCCGCCATAACGCACTTTTCGAGCTTCCTCAGTACTTTATCCGCAACGCAGGTGAAATAAGATTGAGTGCTTTATCATCACGCTCCAATATGGTGGTTTCTTCTTGGATCCTTGCTTCTCTCACTTCCGGCGTCTCCTCCGCCACAAAGGCTTCTCCTTCAAGAGATCTTTCAGTCCTTGTATGGTGATGTGTGCAAGAAATCTCTTCCTTCAGATTACGAAGTCGCTAGATCCATCGAATTGAACGATCTTGTCATCTTCTCCGATTTGAAACTTGAGCTGTTCCTTGGCCTGAACCTTGCTCTGATACCACTTTGTTCGATCTAACGCTCTATATCGATTCACTCAGCTCACACTTGAATCCACTTAAAGAAGTAAGAAAACAGAATTGAGAATGCATGAAAGAAGAAGACACAATTTGGTAACCCATGAGTTCCTTGCGTACATCTCCTGGGGCACGGACTTAGCCGACAAACTCACTATCATGGCAAACCTCGCCGTCTCTGATCGTCTATGTTACAATCGCCAATCAAGCCTCTCTCTCTCTACCTTATCCTCTAATCTTGTTTCCTATTCCGTTACAACCTCTTAACTAGAATAGTGAGGATAAGACTTAAGCTATATACAAATACCAGCTTCTCAATTTTTTCCTATTAGGTTCTCAATTTTTTTTCATAGAAATTCATAAAAGTGACTTGTCATCCACATTCGATACACCATCAGTATTTGCAGTACCGGCCCGTGGTCATATGGAGCCTAAAACCTACTAAATTTTTTGGCTTATTTTATCTGTAGAATAAATTAAAAATGACAAAAACAAAAAAGGAAACGTTGGAAGGATTCGAACCCTACACATGAGATATTTTATAGCAACACACAATACACTAGACTAAAGGAACTTGTCATAATTTTTTGCCCCTAAATTGTTTATATTATTTGGCGTCTAAAGCCTTTGCTTTACGGGCTTTAGCTACGAGCCGGCCTGAGTATTTGTATCATCTCCGAGATGCACTAATTATATCTCTAGAAAATAAAATAAAGTTAAAGTCAACCAACATCATAGACATCGAAGCAATAATCAATGTTAGAACTTTGTATTAGTCTACTACATCCCGTAAATTTCTTAACTAGATTTTTGACTTTAATTGGAAAATATAATCATATATATGAAAAGAGACCAACTCTCTCCATATGATTGGCATGTGGACATTCATTGGATTGACACATGGCAAAGCTTTTAAAGAGAGTAGTCTCTTCATATTCTTAACCGTTGCAGTCATTACAGACATGTTTTCCAAAACCGTCGATTACTTCACCTTCCACTACTTCACCTTCCACGTTGTATTAACCCTCAATTAATTGACATATGACATGACTTTTCCTCTTCCTTCCAATTTGATAGCTCTAAATCTTATTTATTTACTAAATATTTCTATTTCTAAACAAAGACGGGAAATCAAAGTTCGCTCTATGTGGTAGTAAGTAAACAAAGAGAGTTGATGGCAAATAGACGTGTAGTATATAATGCAAAATATAGATTTGAAAATCAATTTGCGAACCAGATAAGTTGAAATTAAAATGCGGGTATTATTTGGATTATAGTTTATACTATTAATAATCGCAAATCTAAAATTATTTGAACATTTTTAAAAAACTATAACAATTGGAAAAACCCGCGCGTATGCGCGGGCATTAGTCTAGTCTTAATTGAACTAAGAAGACAAAGTCTACATAAAGAAAAATTATCTATAACTAAAAATCAAACTTTAATATACATATCGGTTTGAACATGAAAATTAAACCACCTTCTCTTATGGCTTCAAGTTCATCAAGTCCTCAACTCTTAATCTTCTTCTCGTGTTTATCTTTATGTGGTTATGAATTTACGAGTTACGACATTATATTTGATTATCAATCGATTAGGAGAAGAAAATATCCCCACGTTTCTTGAAACAGGTTCAATCATGTTTCCATTTTAGAAACGAACGTATCCAACACGTTTCCAAATAGGCAAATTCAAGAAACCTGTTTCCGTCACGTTTCCGATTTCGAAATGTATCTAAACGTGAAACGTAAGGTGAATAGTTTTCGGAGAAAAGTACCGCGATGTTTATGTTCTAAGAAAGTCAATGTAGAAATTAAAGAATGTAGAACATAAGTTTCTTCTTGCCGTTCGGACATCACTTACATTGGTTGGTCCCTCACACATGCATGTTCAACCGACATAATTTTCTCCATATGGGTCATTGTCTAAATGACATTATACAAGTGATAAAATTAATACCATGGCATTGTTATTCTTAATTATTCTTTGATGTGTTCGATATATTGTTTTTCTTACTTAGCAGCTATATGTGGGTTGAAAGTTAAAAACATAAGAGTTAAACACAACCCAACTCACTTGGAGAACATGAAAGGATTATCTCATAAGAAGCTTATGAATGTGTAGCATTTCAAAACTGACTCCTCTCTAGGAAAGTTTAACATAACATTTGAGTTCATTGCTTCTAAACATACAAACAATTACTCATGTAAGTATGTATCAGCATATCCTCCTTTCTAATTTTGAAAAATTGATAGTTCTTATGTAATTTATGTTTCTCCAGAAATAGAGTTATAGATATAATGTCTTAAGAAATTATACTCTCGTTACGAATGCCTGGTTCAAAAAAAAAGAAAAAATTACACTCTCGTCATAACGTAATACAGTAGTTCGGAAAGCAACAATTAGTAACAAAACTAAAGATAGAGAGAATGACTGACTCTGATTAGATAGAGGAAACAGTGATACAAGAAAAAAAGGAACAATCAAATTTACTAATGAAATTAAAAAAGTTAAATATTTCGTGTAAAATTGAACTTAGATTTTATGTATAACTTTCTCTAAAACCGTGAATAGTGAAAAAAAAGCTGAAACTGTTTTCTAGACAGGGTCATAAA